ATATATATATATATATATATGTGTGTATATATATATGTGTGTATATTAACAAAAAAAATAATTGGTTGATTAAAACAATGAACTTTGGGCGAACACAAGAAGTAGTTCCCCTCCACGTCACTAGAGGGCGGTGGAACAAAGGCGAACTGTTACGGAAGCCGATCCGCGGTATATTTCAGTTGCGCATGCGCTAAAAGGAGTAACAATTCAGCAAAGATGGCTGCCTCCATAAGAAAAGCAGCCCACGACATCGAGACACGAAAAAGGACCGACGATGTTCTTCTGTCGGAAAAGATTGAGTTCAGCTCGCTGCTGCTGTCTCGGGCCGTGCTGGACGGACTGTCCGCCGCGGGTTTCCACAAACCCTCCCCGATCCAGCTCAAAGCGATCCCGCTGGGCCGCTGCGGACTCGGTGGGTGCAGCAGGTGGAGGTCTGGCAGCAGATTCCTAGCGGAAACAGTCAGTTTGATTGGATGGGTTTTGAGCTGATAAACTAACTTTATATGTCGGACAGTTTGTTCTGGCAAAGCTGCTTCTTCGATAATTAAAGTTTAGGTATGATGTGCATCCATCCAGGCAAATTATTTTTAATGTTCATATTTCAGGTTAGTCTCATTGAGTCACGAGGACTCATTTACAAGAAACAACTGTTTTAGACAGGCAACATGCTGTATATGTGAAATTGTTGGCTGGTTATTAAGTCCTCATGTGGAAAAAATAATCTTTGTTAGCAATATTTTTGTTGGACTTTTACTCAAGCATGTTTGGGTTTTTTAAATTTTCTCCATTTGTTTTGTGCTCGTTCACTTTACCCCTCGTTTGAACAGTTGAGTCATTGTTGTCCTTGTCACAGAAGAACTGTCATTAGTTTTAGTAATATGTTCACTAGACAAAATGTATTTTTGATCATTTTTAGGGTACATATTCTCCGTATTTGTTGATGTTTTCTGTTATTTGGCTAAATGTATGAGGATTAGAGTTCATTAATGTAGTTTTTTCTCTGGTTTGGATCATTCTTTGTGTCTGTTACTGAGCATATGACGACACTTTATTTAGCATCATTAAACTTAGAAACGCTAAAGGTAATACACATCAAAGTTGAACTTGAGAAGTCATCAAGTGATTTCAGCTGGTGAGAGGTCTGGACTGCAGGCAGGTCACTTCAGCACCCGGGCTCTTCTCTACAAAGCCATGCTGTTGTAATGGATGCAGTACATCTTGCTGAAATATGCATTCTGTCTCTGATGAAGACATCTGGATGGGAGCACATGTCATTCTTAAACTTGCATTAATGGTGCTTTTCTGTTCAGCGCCCTGAGATAACTTCTGTTGTAACTTGGCACTATATAAATAAACTGAAGTGAATTAATACACTGCCTGGCCAAAAAAAAAAAAGGCGCCACCCAAAAAATACGTCACACACTAATATTTTGTTGGACCGCCTTTAGTTTTGATTACAGCATGCATTCGCTGTGGCATTGTTTCGATAAGCTTCTTCAATGTCACAAGATCTATTTCCACCCAGTATTGCATTAAATTTTCTCCAAGATCTTGCACTGATGACTAGAAACCAGTCATGATGGGTGCATCACTTCACCTGCCTCTCTTCTTACCCTGATGCACCCATCACTCTGGAACAGGGTTAATCTGGACTCATCAGACCACATGACCTTCTTCCATTGCTCCAGAGTCCAATCTTTCTGCTCCCTAGCAAATTGAAGCCTTTTATCTGTTAGTCTCACTGATTGGTGGTTTTCTGAAGGCTACACAGCTGGTCAGTCCCAATCCCTTGAGCTCCCTTCACATTGTGTGTGTGGAAATGCTCTTACTTTCTCTATTAAACACAGCCCTGAGTGCTACTGTTGTTTATCTTCAATTTGATTTCACCAAACTTTTAAGTGATCGCCGATCACGATCATGCAGGATTTTTTTTCAGCCACATTTCATCCTCAAAAACGATGGGTCCCCACTATCCTTCCAGTTTTTAGTAATGCGTTGGACAGTTCTTAACCCAATTTCAGTAGTTTCTACAATCTCTTTAGATGTTTTCTCTGCTTGATGCCAATGATTTGACCCTTCTCAAACAGACTGACATCTTTTCCACGACCACGCGATGTGTCTTTCAACATGGTTGTTTAAGAAATGAGAAGCAACTCATTGCACCAGTTGGGGTTAAAAACTTGTTGCAGCTGAAAGATAATAGCCCGTGCAGTAATTATCCAATAGGAGGCTCGTACCTATTTGCTCAGTTAAATCCAGCTGGTGACTTTTTTTTGGGCCAGGCCGTCTATTTTTCAGATGTGTAAGCTGCTTATGTGAAAGCCATTAATGCACCCCTACACCATCAGAGATTCCGGCTTTAGAGTCTGAGATCCGTTCAGGTGGTTCTGTGCTTCTTTAATATGAAAGTTGTAGAGTCTGAGATTTCCAAAAAGAATTTCAGTTTTCAATTTGTCTGAACACTGAGCAGTTTGTCACCTTTTCTCCGTCCATTTTAAATGAGCTTTGGCCCAGAGAAGATTTCTGAGTCCATGCAGTGAAATCCGTAAACTGTAGATGATCGGATATTCAGTCTTCTCCATATTCCACCGAGGAACATTATTCTGAAATTGTTCCACTATTTTTAGATGCAGATTTTCTCACACTGAACATCTGCCCCTTAACTTCTGAGAGCTTCTGCCTCTCTAAAATGTTATTTTTATAACAGTCCTCCTGTTGATCTGTTGACGGTTAACCTAATTTGTTGCAAAATGCTCCTCCTGGCGTTTTTTTTTTCTTTCTCCATAGCACCTTTACAGCCTTTTGTTGTCTCCGTATCATCTCTTAGATTCATTTCTGCCTTCAAATGCTAAATTACCTATTGTTTTCCATAAGATTATACAATGAAATCATTGAAAACTTTGGTTTGCAATTCATTGCATTCTGTTTTTGTTTGCATTTTCCACAGCAACCAAAATTTTAAAAAGTTGTTTGTGTCACTTCCCATGTGTTTATTGCAGTCAGTACCTTCGTGGAGAGATTGTTTGATGATTTATTTAAAAAAACCTTGATTTAAATTAATTTTATGTCAGTTATCTTCTGCCCCTCCATGTGTGACCATCTCTAATCCCGACACAAATGACAGTAAATTCTGTCTTTTGATGTATTCAGACTCTGACTCATTGAAATTTTAACATTTTCTGATGCTGTGTGAAGAACTGGCATACCAGTGTTACCATGGTAATCAAAGTCCAAGCATCTCAGTATCCCAGTCTTTTCACAGATGGCTCACAGTGATCTGAGGGATTAAATTCAGAGGATCCACTTTATTTGTTTTGTTTGTTAATAGAGAAATGAAGATATTAACACAAAAGGAGTCGTCCGGTTGGATGTGAAAAGGGGATGAACACCTGATTATACAGGAACTAAATCAAACATTGTTTGTCAGATGTGGTCTAAAACAGTCTAAATCTCGTATTGGATGAAAATGAGCTTTATATTTGAACATTTCTTTTTAGGGCTTTAGTTCTAACCTCCATCTGTCCTGAGTGTAACGATAACAGTTGGTGCTGCAGACGCTTTGTACTTCAGGGATTAGATTATTCCTGAAGCACTGCAGTGACATTCCAGCTGCTCTTTGTTGTAGTTTGACACCAACAAATATTTAAAAATCTGTGAAAATATAACAAAAACTCCTGCATGATTAGTATGATGGAATAACTGGATTATATTCAGCACATTTAGTAAGGTGGAGACGAAGTACACGTCAGGCACACGTATGATAAATGAATGTGGACGCTGAACTTTAAGGTTCTGTTTTCAGTGAACGCTCTTGACGTCTGTGATGAGTCCGACTGTTCATTACTCGATGTGAACACCTGTTCAATTGTGACTTGTACCAAAGCAACAAATTAAATACCCATTTCACCCAGTTAATGTTTTATTTGTATTTAATTGGTCATGTTTTGTTTCAGATTTGATTGTGCAAGCCAAGTCTGGTACAGGAAAGACGTGCGTGTTCTGCACCATCGCTCTCGACTCTCTTGTCCTGGAGAATCCAGCTACTCAGGTCAGTCGATTCACTCAGCTGGAGCTCAAGACTATAAGAGAAAAAAAATTAGAAACATTACCTTCTTGGTTATTTAATTTCATTGGTGATTGTATTTTAGTTGTTATGTATTTTGAGTTCATGCCTTAGTTTCATTTTGCCATTTTGCTCGTCACTAATAGGACAAAGAGACATTTCTATTAAAGGGTGAGGATTCTTTGAAAGAATACAATTTGCTCATCAGGCCAGAGTTTTATACAAAAGACCTGATCTTATGTTAAGAAATAATATTGAAGCCATTTCAAATGAACTATGATAAACACTTTGTGCACAACCTCATGCAATACTGCAAAATGTCACCCTCGAGAGTACACATTGTAAATGACTCTCAACTACTTTTGCTCCAAATTTGAGCTCAATATCTGTGAAACCGACTACCGTATTTTCCACCGTACCCGTCGCACCGCCCTATAAGTCGCATCAGTCCAAATATGTCTAATAAAGTGGAAAAATCCATAAATACGTTGCATCTGTTATGCGTCATCGCTGACAGCTCAGAAATGTGGGCCAGTGTTGTGCCAAAAGTAGATTGGCTGCCAAATGGCGGCTGCAGGGGCGTGCACGGGAGGACTTTAACAATAATTTAACAAGATTAACACTTAAAAACAATTATTTGTTTGCTCGACATTATAGCACAAATGTGTCTCAGTTGAACTTTTCCTTAATAAATGCACTTTGATGGTCAAATCAGCTGCATTTCAAAAGCCGATACGCGGAAGTAGTCGCATGCACAAGAGGACTCACTGTGCACTTCTTCGAAATTTAACAAGCTAAGCACCTAAAACAATTATTTGTTTGCTCGACATTATAGTAAAAGTGTGTCTCAGTTCAACTTTACTTAATAAATGCACTTCAGTGGTCAAATTAGCTGCATTTCACCATGACGGCGCAGCAAAATGAAGTTAATTTGATGATTGCTCCAAGCAAGCAGAATGAAGGTGGCAGTATTTGGCAAGCCGATTGTGTCATTAATAGCCACTTTTACATATTACATGATACAACGGCATGCCATACTGCTCGAGTGCCATCTAGTGGCTGAAAATGGTAGTGTTCAATATTTTTAGTCGGAATGAATGAAAATGGTCATATCTCAGCCAAAAATTGGTTTATACGTATGGGGGCAAAAAAATCCATAAATACGTATCTTGGGCATATAAGTCGCAGGGCATGCAAGTTATGCAAAAAATTGCGACTTGTAGGGTGAAAAATACGGTAAGTTGTGGCCATGTTTAAGTTAATTTTTAAGATGTCAATGAGTTGTGGTGGCCATCTTGAATAGGGGATGTATCCTGATGCATGCTCAATAATCCAGGTAGATGAATCTTAACAAGGTTGAGTCAGGTACCCTGCACGGGTTCTTGTTTGTTGAAATGTTTCTTCTTTAACTAAAAGATTTCTTCAGTCGGCTGAAGACTGACTCAACCTTGTTAGAGTTGTAGATGTAGATCCAGTGGTTACTCTCTGAAAGTTTAATGAAAATCCATCTGCCCACCTGCCTGGATCCTCTGCCCGGAGGATAAAACCCTCCTGGTTGTAATTCAGAAACAGCTCTTTTCCCTCTTACAGGTTCTTATTCTGGCTCCAACACGTGAGATAGCAGTGCAGATCCACTCTGTGATGATGGCCATCGGCTGTGCCATAGAAGGTCTGGAGTGTCATGTTTTCATCGGGGGGAGACCCGTGAGTCAGGACAAACAGCGTCTGAAGAAGTGTCACATTGCTGTGGGCTCACCTGGTGAGGCCGGCAGGATTCTGATGAACACAACCCTGCTGAAGTTTGTGTTTGCTAACCACGTCGCTGGCTGTGCTCTCAGGTCGCATCAAGCAGCTCATCGAGCTGGACATTTTGTCCCCCGTCAGCATCAGACTGTTTGTTCTGGACGAGGCCGACAAGCTGCTGGAGGAGGGCAGCTTCCAGGAGCAGATAAAGTAAGGGGGACACTTCTGTCATGTGATCCAGCCATGGTTTGAAGCATTTGTGCTCAAATTCACCCAGTCTCTCTGCTTTCTCTCAGCTGGATCTTCTCCTCTCTGCCTGTCAACAAACAGATGCTTGCTCTTTCTGCCACCTACCCAGAATCCCTTGCTCAGTACCTCACCCGCTACATGAATGAGCCCACTTTCGTTAGACTCAACCCAAGTGACATGGGTCTGAAAGGTAAGACTGGGGAACTCTCTAGGACTTTACTTTTCTTAGTCTTCTAAGACATCCACCCATTGTTCTGTGACGCTGCTCTGTCTTCTCTATTTTGTCCTTTTTATTCCCCACATCAGGTCTGAAGCAGTTCTACAAGCTGGTGCCATCCCACCCCCTACCTCACAAGGTTTTTGAGGAGAAGGTGCAGCATTTGCTCGAGCTGTTCAGTAAAATCCCCTTCAACCAAGCCCTGGTGTTTTCCAACCTACACACAAGGTAACAGCTTTTTAATGTTCTCCCTCCTCTTCACAGCTGCTGTTGATCGACTTTATGACCAAGAAAGAAAAAAAAAAGATCACATTAGTTGTGTGAGTTAAGATTTATTTGTTTTAACGCTGCTGGATTTGTCCCACAGGGCTCAACACTTGGCAGACATCCTGTCCTCCAAAGGCTTACCTGCTGTTTGTATATCAGGTGAGAGTAAATGAGTGGAATGTGCAGAAATAACATGAAGAAAAAGGAAAAGACCAAACATATTTCCCCCCCTTTTATAAAACATATTTCAGCTGGAAAAAAAAAGCACAACTAAATTGTTTTCAGGTGTTTTTAATTTAAAAAAATGCTGAACATGTGTCCTGTTGGAATCAGTTCATTACAGGAAAATATTTTACATTTTGTTTCTTGTTGTAGGTTGGAATAATTTTTTTTTTTTTTTTGGGGGGGGGGATGGAACAGAAAGATAATTAAATATATAATTAAATATAATAATTTGAATAGTTAAATTATTAAATAATTAAAGATAGTTTAGTGTTGCCTCCTTGTGGCCATTTGAAGTACTGCAGTTAAATTAATTCCATATTTGATTAATGTGAGTTTTTGTTCTTTTCTATACACATGTTCAGAATCCTACAGCAGACTATATAATGATTTATAAAATTAGGATGATGGTTTATGTGTGCAGGTGGCCTGAGTCAGGACCAGAGACTGGAAGCAATGTCCAAACTGAAGCAGTACCAGTGCAGGGTGCTCATCTCCACCGACCTGGTGAGACAAACACTCTAACACTTTATGGGCATCTTCTCCTTTTCATTCCTAATAATCTCCTGCTGCCAAAAAGCAAAGGTCAACAATATTTTTAATGAAACATGCAGAAAGTAACCGCTGGATATGTTTGTATAACTTGATTATCTTTTGGAGACATCCCACTTCAAGATGGCTCTCGCTGCCAGTTAATTAAAACCCCCCACAAAAGTGGCTATAACCTTGACAGTTTTATAGATAATGAGCTAAAATTTGATGTGGTTGTAGTTGAGACTGATCCCAAACACACATTCTGAGCACTACCAGATTGCGCAAGATCTTAGTTTAAAATGTTGCCATTAAGTATTGGAGTCAACTCTGCCTGTTAGCAAAATATGTCATCAACCACTTCACTGATTTTAATGAAACTTTCAGGAAATAATTATCGGGTGCACATCTTCAACTGATTACCGTTCGGAGCAGACCCAATTCAAGATTGTCACCAACTTCTCTAATTCAGTCAGTTTTACATCTATTGTGCTAAACTTTGGTGTGGCAGGAGCTGAGAGTTACACATACCCTGAGCTACACATCTCATGATGTTACATTTTGTTATTTGTAGTGTTTTATAAAAATGTAACTTGGGCGTGAAAGGAGGCAGGCGATTAAAAAATGCAAGATTTTAAATTATGATCTGTTTTTGTTTTCTGTTCTTCCCTCTGAGACAGACTTCCAGGGGTATAGATGCCGAGAAAGTCAACCTGGTGATCAACCTGGACGTGCCTCAGGACTGGGAGACCTACATGCACAGGATTGGACGGGCTGGACGTTTTGGTAAGTCTGAAGCAATCGGAGGCAACAGAAAGCTGCGATGATGCATTCAGCTGTTTCCTCTCATCACTCGGCTCAGGATGCCCGGGTGGCTGATGGCAGTACAGCAGGAGAGCTTGTTTGTGTGAAGCAGTTGCATCATTATTGCACAGTCCGTCCTTTGGTTTTTAGTTCTCAGTTTTGAGAAAATACGTTTTTTTCTGTTGCTGATGTCATTTATATTTCAGAGGCTTTTTTTCCTCTCTTTGCTGTTGTGAAGCGTTATTAAAGAGTAGCTCACATGATTCTCCATGTTTGGACCTTGCATTATATATTATAATGGTAAGTCTCACCTTCCTTTAACATTTTCTGTTCTATGGGTTGTAGGCACTCAGGGGATGGCTGTGACCTACTGTTGCCATGGTGAGGAGGAGAACAAGATCATGGCCATCGCTCAGAAGTGTGGCCTCAGTTTGTCTGCTCTTCCTTGTAAGTCCTGCACATGTAACTTTCTGCTCAGATCCTAAAGTTGACCATTCAGTCATATTTTCTCTGTGATTGTAGCCACTTTAGAGCCTGGGTTGATGGATGAGCCGTGCGACTGGGACGTGTGCGCTGAGGCCTCCACTGTGTCGCAGCAGTTGCTCCGAACTGAAAAGAGGAAGCGTTCAAAGCCCCAAGTCTCCGTGTCGGAACCCGTCAAGGATCAAGCTGTGGAGCAAAGGAGTCAAACGAAGGAAGCTAGAGCCCAGGCAGGACCCAGGATGTCGTTACACGGTGAAGAAATCGCAAGACAGACGAGCTGCGCAGGAGACGCCTCGCAGCAGAGCTCTTCTCGTGTGACGCCGACTCGTAAGGAGCTGCAGGACGCCCTGCCAAAGATCCCTCCTCTCAGCTCGTTCAAGAGCTGCCGGTCGAGGTTTATGACCTTTGAGGAGGCCCAGCGTGACTTCCAGACGTTTATCACCACAGGTTTGGGGAGATCAGTGGAGGTCGTCAGAGAGTTCAGAGGCGAAGACCAGAACGGGTATAAGGAGTACATCACACTGCACGACGATGGAGCTCAAGATTTATTACTAAATGGTGTCCAGCTGCAGTCGGACGTTTCACCTCCAAGCTCGATATCGGGTTCTTCTAACTCGCCGTCCGACATGGACATGGACATGGACATGACCCCCAGAGGCTCCAATCAGCTTCCAGACGCTGAGCACAGATCTCCTGTTCAACCTCAGCCTGACTCTACATCCACTGCACAAAATCCCTCTATACCTGAAATACATAAGCAGACATCCAGAGCAACAAGTGGGGGAGTTTTGTCTCCCCCCGAGAGCAGGAAGCTACGTGCTAAGACAAGCACCGAGAGCAGTCAGACCGCTCCAAGACAGACTTGCAGGGAAACATCAAAAAAGGTGAAAAAAGAGAGCTCGAAGCTCTCGGAGAAGATGAAAGAAGAGCCAGAGAGGGATGAAGAAGAAGAGCGCATGGACGTGGAGGAGGAGGAGGAGGAGTGGAGCTCGGAGGCATATTGGAGAGCCTGCTACAGAGCCTGGAGCGATTACTACTCCTCCATGTGTCTCCTTCCAGAGCAGAGGTACCAAAGCTACTACAGCGCAGCTCATAACTGGATGGCAGCTTATCGAATGAACGCAGTCTACATGCAGGAGCTCATGAAACACTGAGCGGACTCGCCTAAAGCAGCTTTTACTATCAAGTGTTCGGTAATCCAGTTGTTTTCTGCGTCTGCTTCAAGATTATTTGCACTTTAGGTCTAACGCATTGAACTCAAATTCTTTTTGTTAAATGTATCACATGCATGGTGTCGCTGTCTGGGTAACTTTAATAAATCACTGTGAACTGCACCTTCAGCTGCCTCTCTGTTCATTTGGCTGTGCTCAGTTGTGAATGTGCTTCTGTTCATTATTTAAAGCTTGTGTGTACAGAGGAAGATCAAAGAGTTCATATTCTGCGTGCGCTCTCTCCAGTGAGGTGCGGAGGTCAAACATCACACTCCTGATGACGGCCTAATCAGCCCTCCAACACTTTCGCCCAATCAGTGAAAAGTCAACACCCTCGAATGAATGACTCTGAACCGAGGTGACCGATGCGTGATGGAGACGTTTAAAGAAGATACGGCTGAGCCAGAGGAACACTTGCAGGAATAAAATGTTTGCCAACTCCTGACAGGTCTTTTGGATTTAAGGCAGATAATTACTGACTGAGCGAGGGAGTACCAGGTGTCAGTGTCCACCCTGCAGCACTTCACCTGCTGAGTATTAACATGGAACTCTTCCAAGTCCTTTTTCTAACCGAGCAGGAAAACCAAAGTTGGTCTTCAGAATTATGCCACAAGATTGAGTCTGGATATGATCTGATCCTTTCAAAAATATCTTTAGTTGGTTTTGATGTTTTGCTGTCTACATCTGGGAGCAAATCAGCAGCTTTCAGGTGCAGCTGGATCATCTGAGCCAATGTGTGGATGTGACTGTTTGCAAACTTTGGACTCCAGCTGAGGGTGGTGGGACTTCTCAGGAGGCCTGACAGCTGTCTCTTTATGTTGGGTTCTGTGGAAAACAATTGAACAATTAATATCTTACCTGCTGTTTAAAGCTCTGATGGCTGATATACACATATATACATA